ACCATGTTAGATAAGCGGACACCCTCGTGATCATCGCAGCGATGATTGTCAATTGGTGTGTCATTATGGGAGAGGATGCCAGCCTCCTTTGCAAGATAGTCTGCCTTTAATATAGTGCAGCCCGACCCATTGCCTGTGGCAGCAGACTGGGCTTGATAATGCAGTGCTGAGGGGTGTTCACGGGCACCGCACACTGCTGCGTGCGGTGTGTGCGGTGCGTCCAGCAGGCGTGGGGGTAGGGGATGGGTAGGCGGTGCTGACGTCACGGCTGCGTGCGGTGGACGGTCCGCTGTGGCCAGTCCCGACCGGCCACAGCGATCGCTGTGTGCGGTGACGGAAGGCTGACGTAGGGACGCAGTGGGCGGAGCTTGGAGGCTGTGTGCGGTTCGACCGCACACAGGGCCCGTGAACAGCCCCCAGGACACACCAAACGTAAGCGGCCATCTGTACCCCCAATGCAGTAGGGCTGACTCAAGAGCCCAGAGTTGCATCCCCCCACCATTCTGTGCACGTGATAACTGGATGGGACATGCCATGGTCAGCATCTGTTCAAAAGCTGCCCTAAGCATGTAAAGCTCCACTGGCATGCTCGAGCATGGTCACAGTCAGTTCTCACTTCTCAGTTGAACCTCCAATGGAAACCCATCACAAAGTAGAGATCAGGGCGCCTCTCACACTGCAGCACACTCAACGACTGAGGCACCATCTCATCACTTGCAGGTGGTTCTTGCCAGGAGCAATGCCAGCCACGCACATCAGGTGACAACAGCAGTGTACAACTGCAATCTACAAGCATCCATGTTCTTTCTGGTTTTCTCCGGTTGAGATCCACTGCCATGCATGAACTTGATGGGCTTTTGTTGCGCTCCTCCCATGTGCAGACAGGTTTCTGCTGAAACAAAGCAAAGCAAATGTGATTAATAATGGCCCTGTTTCACCATCCAGACACTGTGTGCACTGGTAGCTACGGCATACCATAGCATTACTCAAATGACGTTGCATGTGATCTCTTAGTTTATGATGAATCACGTTTGGAACAGAGTGAGAGGTTCTGAAAAACCGTACCAAGAACAGAGGTTTGAGTTCAAATACTGCTAGCATGCTGCTGGTGCTGGTACCGCAGCGTGCTAGCGTTCTGAGATGCTGTCATAGCTTAGCGTCACAGTGAAGTTTGTTGACACTGCCATGGAAACCCAATGCTCTGACACACGCAGCGCGAAACACCACCCATGAACGTTGGTTGCATGACCAGGATCGGAGCAGTGTGGCAGACAGTGATTTTAATTTTAATTGCACTTCCTGGAGATTAACAAGTTGTTGGTGAAATTGCTATTCATTATTCCTATTACCATTGTCTAAATTTCACATTTCACACAGCATCAGCATTCAGCATTGACATGTTATATAAAATAAGGTTTAGACTTCAGGTGGTCCCGGGTTCAGCTATTAAGTAGAACAAGCCACAAGGGCAAAAATTGTCAGAAAAAAAATATTTTAAAAAATACCTGCCTTCATCAACACCTCAACTTATCACATATCTCAATACAATCTAACACAGATGGGTTAAAAACAACAAGGCCCTAAAAGCAAAAAACCGTTTGAATAACAATGTAATATTTTGCAACCGCTGCACCATTACTGTCACGTACGCTATCCCTAGATTGGTTGCTGGTAAGCAGTGGTTGTCGTCATCAACTCGTCATGCAGCAGCTGATTGGGATGGGCGGGGCCTATTTTTATCCAGGCGATAGAGAGAGCCTTGGAACAGAGCCAAGTGGTGCTCCATTTGTTTGTTTACAATGATTGTAGTGCTGATGTATTTTTAGGACTCTGAACGTCGGCTTATAAAAAAAATGAAACGTTTTTACAAAAGTTGTAAGGCAAGTAATATTTATCTGAAAGAACTAAAATATTCAAAAGCCAAACACTATGAAATACATGAATCGGAACGAAAAAGTAACCAAAAAATCCAGCCTAATCACCGGCTCCTAAAACTGCAACACAATCAGCACTTTTCCCCGCAACTCGTTGTCCAGACGTAAATATGCTAACCGGACAAATCTTCGTATGGCAATTCTTCGTCGCGCAATTCCTCGTCCGCATTTCTTCGTCCGCAAATCTTCGTCGGCGCATTTATTCGTGTCGCATAACTTCGTCTCGCATTTCTTCGTAAGTGCAAATATTCGTAGCGCATTTTTTCGTATCCGCATTTCTTCGTACGCGCATTTCTTCGTCAAGCATTTTTTCGTCCACGCATTTCTTCGTCTATGCAAATCTTCGTCCGCATTTTTTCGTCCACGCAAATCTTCGTCTGCGCATATCTTCGTCCGCAAATCTTCGTCTCCGCAAATCTTCGTCCGCAAATCTTCGCCCGCATTTTTTCGTCCACGCATTTCTTCGTCTACGCAAATCTTCGTCCGCATTTCTTCGTCCACGCAAATCTTCGTCCCGGCAAATCTTCGTCCGCAAATCTTCGTCCGCAAAACTTCGTCCGCAAATCTTCGTCCGCAAATCTTCGTCCGCATTTTTCGTCCACACATTTCTTCGTCCACGCAAATCTTCGTCCGCAAATCTTTGTCTGCGCATATTTTCGTCCGCAAACCTTTGTCTCCGCTATCTTCGTCTCCGCAAACATTCGTCCACAAATGTGGTTCAATAAAACCATGAAGAAATATCAGACCATCAAGTGATTGACGAATTTAATGCATGGAATGGATGATCAAAACTTTTGATGTCAGGTAGATGAGGCCTGTCAGGTGAAGCTATTGTATTTGGGAGCCGAGAATTGAAACATTCCATATCATTTGTGTCCCGGACATTCTTTTTTTTTGCGGTCGATGAATGACAATATAATCTCTTGTACCCTCGCCGGCATAGGCGGCGGAACGGGGAGGGCACCGGCCACCGGGGCACCGTTCCCCTCTTTAATTTTGGCCTTTTAACAGTAGCCCTATGGGCGTTGCATGGAAAGAATGGGACTAAAAGTCGGCAGTGCCGTGCCCCCCCCCCTAATTGAAGGTGTTCCGCCGCTACTGCTCGCCGGACCTATTTGTTTTCTACATACACGCCGGCCGAGGGGGGGGGGGGGGCGGGTACGACCCCCCCCCATCGCCGTTTTGCCACTGGTGGAGCTAGCGCGTCGCGGAAAAAACGAGCGTGTGCGCCGTTACGAGACGCAGAGGTTAATACCCGATTTTAAAGGGACCCTCCCACCTTCATAAAAGTTAATGAATTGGCATGAAAGTGATGTCGCTCGGTTCAGAAAGAGCAAAAACGAATATCTACCAAATTTCATCGAAAAATATTCACCGGTTTTCAAGATATTAGACTTTTACTTTTGTTTACTTTTTGGGATCTCCGCGGTTCCTAGCGACTTTATTTGAAAGTGCGGCATTTGTTGCGCGCAAAGCAGCATATACCACCGCGTGCTACAAAACGTTTTAGTCAAACATTAAACGGACATTCGAAAGCCTGATGACGTCATCAGATTCCCGTAATGGTTAAGAGATAGGGACCACGCTGGTCCCACCCTGCAAGTAAAGGGAAGAGATTTCTTGAACACCATAAAGCTGCGGGGGTTGCGACCAGGATAAATGGTGGTTTCTGAGCCTGGCCGCAAACTTGGCTATCTCAACTCAAAACTAATGTTAAGGTGGGAGGGTCCCTTTAAGGCCTTCTAGGTCAGGGGTCGGCTTACAGCCCGCGGGCCGGATCCGGCCAGGAGGGTGACGGTTGGATCCGGCCCGCGACCATCTGACGTCCGGCCCGCACAAGTTTTGTCTAGAAGTAGAATTAGACAAAAAACACCCGCAAATGGTGTTTATAAACTCATGAAGTGTGCGAAGGAAGAACTATTGTGCCAAAGCACATTTAAGTCACTTTTATATCGGAGTCGATTTCTGAAGGAACCGCGGGCCGGAACACGACGTAAGTCGATATCAGCCGCGGGCAGGACGTCAGATGGTCGCGGGCCGGATCCAACCGTCACCCTCCTGGCCGGATCCGGTCCGCGGGCCGTAAGCCGACCCCTGACCTAGAAGGCCTTAAAATCGGGTATTAATCTCTGCGTCTCGTAACGGCGCACACGCTCGTTTTTTCCGCGACGCGCTAGCTCCACCAGTGGCGAAACGGCGATGGGGGGGGGGGGGTCGTACCCGCCCCCCCTCGGCCGGCGTGTATGTAGAAAACAAATAGGTCCGGCGAGCAGTAGCGGCGGAACACCTTCAATTAGGGGGGGGGGGGGCACAGCACTGCCGACTTTTAGTCCCATTCTTTCCATGCAACGCCCATAGGGCTACTGTTAAAAGGCCAAAATTAAAGAGGGGAACGGTGCCCCGGACCCGGTGCCCTCGCCGTTCCGCCGCCTATGCCGGCGAGGGTACAATCGCGATTATATTGTCATTCATCGACCGCGAAAAAAGAATGTCCGGGACACAAATGACATGGAATGTTTCGATTCTCGGCTCCCAAATACAATAGCTTCACCTGACAGACCTCATCTACCTGACTTCAAAAGTTTCGATCATCCATTCCATGCATTAAATTCGTCAATCACTTGATGGTCTGATATTTCTTCATGGTTTTATTGAACCACATTTGTGGACGAATGTTTGCGGAGACGAAGATAGCGGAGACAAAGGTTTGCGGACGAAAATATGCGCAGACAAAGATTTGCGGAAGAAGATTTGCGTGGACGAAGAAATGCGTGGACGAAAAATGCGGACGAAGATTTGCGGACGAAGATTTGCGGACGAAGTTTTGCGGACGAAGATTTGCGGACGAAGATTTGCCGGGACGAAGATTTGCGTGGACGAAGAAATGCGGACGAAGATTTGCGTAGACGAAGAAATGCGTGGACGAAAAAATGCGGACGAAGATTTGCGGACGAAGATTTGCGGGGACGAAGATTTGCGGACGAAGATATGCGCAGACGAAGATTTGCGTGGACGAAGAAATGCGGACGAAGATTTGCGTAGACGAAGAAATGCGTGGACGAAAAAATGCTTGACGAAGAAATGCGCGTACGAAGAAATGCGGATACGAAAAAATGCGCTACGAATATTTGCGCTTACGAAGAAATGCGAGACGAAGTTATGCGACACGAATAAATGCGCCGACGAAGATTTGCGGACGAAGAAATGCGGACGAAGAATTGCGCGACGAAGAAATGCCATACGAAGATTTGTCCTGGAATCGCCAGGGGTTGAGGAGGGATAAGCTGAAACCTTTCCACGTCTTCTCTGGTGAGTATTTTATAGTTTTTCATCCACAGACGTCTTCTATTTTTGTGATGTTCTGATTCATTGTGTTTTGCTTCGCTTTTGTCTAAGATGAGATAAAACGTTTTTTTTTTTTGCCAAAATTACCTGACGTCCATAATAAACATGGTCTTGGTATGTATAACAATTGTTTTCTCTATTATAATATATAATTTACATGACATTTATGCATGGGATATTCACGCTCCTGTGATGTTTCAATATATCAGTTGATTACGAGTTGTCATTGGTTTTGGAAGTTCCTGCCTTTTCTAGTGTCCACTGTCCATATTTCATGACATGTATTGGTTGTTTCATGAAAAAAATCACAATTTTTATTACAAAAGTTATGGTTGCATTGCAGCTCAATCTGCGTCCAGCAAGGAAGCTAATTCCAAGAACCTCGTGGTCCTGTGAACATTATCTTCTGAGTCAAATATGATGAACTTGGCCTTAGCCTTAGTCATTTTTTTTCAACTCAGACTGTGTAAAATCTTGAGTTCCAAAGTTTATATTAGTACTATGAGTCTGTGCGCCTTAGGCCCTAGCCAGGTAGCGTGAACTAGTTGTTGAAGCTTACTAGCAGCACAAGTACTGTGGCACAAATTTCTAAGTCCAATGCAAACCTACTGTGCCATGGTAAAATTTCTAGTTAAATTGGTAAAGTTAAGTTTTTATTTATTCTCTGATGGAAGAGAATCTGAGCTAATTTCAATCCACCTAGGCAGTGCCCAGGTGCCTAGTTGGGCAGGATAGCTGTTTCCCATCATACCTTTTCTATTCTCTTTTAAGCTGAGTGAATTGCTTAGAAAATAAGGAACTGGGAGACCTCATGTTTATTGCCACAACAACAAGCTAGTCCATTGGGAGGGAAGCTAATTAAAAAGAACTTAAGCTGTACTTCCTGCCACAGGATTTACTACTGTCTTGCCAATCATCAATCTTTTTTTTACAAACATTCCAACTTTTCAAACAAACTGTGGATGGAGCCAAGGGAGGTTCAGGGTTCAAGGCTGTGCTCCTTGTCACCAGCTGATGAGACTGGTGCACCATAAGTATTATTTTAGAAAAAAAAAGTTTTTAATGTTCCAAATTTTCTTGTATTACCTCCCATACTTGGTGATTGGCAATTGCCAGATATCACTCTTAAGTCACTCAATGAAATTGTTCATTTGCATACAAGGTCGGGAGCAAAGTGATTTCTAATTACACGAAGATGGAGAAATGTAGTTTGACTCTTCTCAGACCAAAGTTACTTGGTGCCTCCCAAGGGCGCCTCCTGGGTAGACTTTGTGAAAGGAATTTAAAAATAGCTTTTTGTTTCATTATTATCCTACTCCCCTACATTGCATATACAGCCTACATTGCATGTGAGATAGGTATTTACTACTAACAGTAAATGGAGTCTGAGCAAGCCTTGAAAGGCTGTGTCAGTCAAGTGTCAGTGTCACACAAGGCTGCTCTGTAGTGTGGTGGGTGATATGTCTTTGAATAGCAAATGCTTTGGTATAAATATTGTTGTTACCGTAAAATGGGGTGTTAAGGGACAGTGGGGTGTTAAGGGACAGTTGCATGGGAAAAACTTTGAGTCATATTAACTTCCTTATTTGAGAAGGTTCAATAAAAACTTCAGTGTGGTAGTTGACACTGTTTTGCTCTTAACCATAGGACAAAATGGTATGGTTTTTCATGCAAGTGATTTGGTTCAAAAATGGATTTGAAAATCATGCTACATATTCACAAAATTGAAACATCTCCAAAACTCTGTGTGTACCACATAAACTAGTGGGTGTACAGGGAAAATGAATGCATAGATGTATTGTCACATGTATTACACATGTTTCCTGAAAAACTTGTGCAAATCCACCCATTCATTCATCATCCTCTTCCTCTTTTCTGGATGCATGCATATTTTGAGGTGGATAGGGACAGAGAAGAAATAATAAAAAATAATATATAAATATAATTTCATTAAGTTTTCTTTCAGTAGGCATGGAAAACACCAAATTCCACATAAAATGCTGGCAAGTTCATGCTTTTATCTCTAACATATCTTAAGTTATGTAACAAAACATCTCACACTCTCTTTTACAATGATGGGTCAATGGAGACTGATGTAGGTAAATGTGATGTCATCATAAAAAGGCTAAAACAAAGAGGGCAACATAATGACAAGTGACTAGCTTCAACATGGGTTTTTATTGATGACAGAAAATTACTTTTTGGTTCTGTTTACCTTATAATTAGCACATTTTCCACAAGCGTTAACTTCATTACACGTAATTGGCTAAAAAGGTCATTACTGGTGAATGAACCTGACTTGTTTTGTGACAGAATATGCAAAACATTTCAATAAATAAATTGTGTGCCCTTCCACACCCTAATTGTGGGCATTTGATGACCATTTCTTGGAATAATATAGGTGTCCCTTAACACCCCACATTGGGGTGCTAAGGGACAGTGATGAAAAGTAATAAAAAATAATATGCAGGTATAAATCTCAAAAACTTTAATGTGGCAGGCATGTAAAGCACCAAATTCCACATAAAATGCTGACAATTTGATGCTTCTGTCTCCAACCCTTCTTGAGTTATATAACAAAACACCTCAAAACTGTCCCTTAACACCCCGTTTTACGGTATTCAGCCTTTGATGGAAAGTTACCTGTGAAAATCTTCTCAATTTTTGGGCAATTGACCTAAATTTGGAGGTCGCGAATCATCGACCACAATCCCAAAGTTGAGTTATGGGGCCTTCTCTCATTGATGTACAAAATGCAGACTTTTTCACAGCACTGCAGCTAAGTTTTTAGGAGAAAAGCACCCCATCGTATTGCACGCATCTTCACTTAACGCAATAAATCATAACATCACTGAGCTTCTAGCTGTGTCGTCGTCTTGCAGGTGCACTCCTTACACCTGCCTTTGAGTCGTCGCCCGGTGAAGCTCAGCGCAGCACTGTTCCGCGAGCCGTGCCGACATGGCTGAGGCGCCAGACATCGGGGGCAGTGTTACCCCCGGCGGTGGGGCCCAGGTGAAAATCGGAAACTACATCCTCGGAGACACCATCGGCAAAGGCACCTTCGGAAAGGTCAAGTGTGAGTACTGGTAGCCTGGAAAGGCGGATGGGACGTGAATGCTTCGGTGGATGGGGGAACAAATATGGTAGTTGGGGTGGGGAAATATTTTAATTAGGTGAAATTTCGATGATTAGGAAAGCATAGAGTGGGTGATATTAGTTAAGATTATTCGTATTTTAGCGAGGTCAGATTGATAAGTGGGGTGGAGCACTGTGATAGCTGTCATTGCTTTGTGAATTTCCAGGAAATTCCTGTCATTTCGTTAAGTTTTCTGACCTAATGTATAAATGTGAATGACGGCCCAGAACTCGTTCGTCATTGTTGCCAACGTTACTCGCCCCTTACCGCCCGATGGCGTCCCTTTGGCAGTCGGAATCCACCAGAAGACGCAGAACAGGGTGGCGGTGAAAATCCTCAACCGGGAGAAGATTAAGAATCTGGATGTAGCCGGCAAAATTAAAAGGGAAATACAGAATCTTAAGCTCTTCCGCCATCCGCACATCATCAAGTTGTGAGTAATCCTCGTACTTGCCAACAGTGTTGTTGTGTTTGCTGTTTCAGCTCGGATTTTACGTGTGTGTCCCCTGGATATGCACCATGTATGTGTCTTTCCTGCCTGATAATCAAAGATCTCTCTGATAATTCATCCATCCGTTAATCGAACATATGCGTGTCTGTTCATTCAGTAACCGATTACATGCCTGTCTGTCCGCCAGATAACCGATCGTTTGTTTGTTTGTTTGTTCAGGTACCAGGTGATTAGTACCCCGACGGATATATTTATGGTCATGGAGTTTGTGTCCGGTGGTGAGCTGTTCGAGTACATCATCAAACATGGAAAGGTAAGGGCACAAACATACACGGTTGTCAGACGTGCAAACGTTTTTTTTTAAATACAACCATTGTATTTTTTTTTAAGTTAAATGTTCAATGTTCATTTGACATTTTGTAATGGATGCATTTGTTTACTCCTGTTAGGCAGTTCTGGCGCTTAAAACTTCGTTTATTTCATCTTATCATCCAACAGTCATTTCATTCATTCATTCACTCGTTCATCCATTTATTTAATCACGTGCCATTTTTTGTCTGGCTCCTCAGCTGAAGGAGCAGGAGGCGCGCCGGTTCTTTCAGCAGATTATCTCCGGCGTGGATTACTGCCACAGACACATGGTGGTCCATCGAGACCTGAAGCCGGAGAACCTCCTGCTCGACTCGCATCTCAACGTCAAAATCGCCGACTTCGGTGAGGGGGCGGGGAGGGGAGACAAAGGGGAGATGTGGTGGAGGGATAGATGGAAATGTGAGACAATGTTCGATCAATAGCATATTCATTATATTGATCATATAATATACGATGATTGGCTGTGAGGTTAATGACTTGCCTAATTGTTCTAAAAATTGTTAAGAGAAGAACAACTTCTATTCAAGCCCGCCCAAACCAAAATCATCATCATGACCACCATTCATCGATTAATTCTATCTTTGCAAGGAAGACGATACGTATTCAAGCTCACCTAAAATCAAACTCATTACCACCACCGGCTGTTCTAGCCTCCGCGACTAATATCTCCCCACTCCTTCGCTCCGCCAGGTCTATCCAACATGATGAAGGACGGCGACTTCCTGTCGACCTCGTGCGGCTCTCCCAACTACGCCGCCCCCGAGGTCATCTCCGGCAGCATGTACGCCGGCCCCGAGGTGGATGTCTGGTCGTGCGGAGTGATCCTCTACGCCCTCCTCTGCGGCACGCTGCCCTTTGACGACGATCACGTGCCGACGCTCTTCACCAAGATCAAGCGCGGCGTGTTCCCGATCCCGGACTATCTGAACAAACAGGTGGTGTCGCTGCTGTGCCACATGCTCCAGGTCCAGCCAATGACCAGAGCGACCATCGAGGATGTCAAGTGAGTGGTTGAGGGAGAGGAGGAACGGTTTAAGAAAGATTTGGATTGTTGCAAACTTGTGTGTTTTTTTTTACTGTTGTCACTTTAAGTTTTAACCACACCTATCTGTCTATTTGTTTGAATATTTTGGGCATACAGTAATATCATTGTCATATACCTTTCCATAACTCCCGTTCAGAAATCATGGTGATTTCATCGTGAAGCTCATCGTATTGAAGCCCAGAAACCCATGTTTTATTGCCTCCATGCTTCCCGCTTATGTGTGGTTTTTTCTTCAAACTTTTCTTGTCTCCCTCTAAGAAATGAAACGTGCTTATGGTTTCAACTTGAAAACGTGTTTTCCATTCTGTACCTCCCCGTAAACAACATTCTTGCTTCACGCTTACCTCCCCGTCTTTTCTCTACCGCTCAGAAACCACGAATGGTTCTGTCATAACCATCCCCGTGTCTTCTCTCGCTCTCAGGAACCACGAGTGGTTCCAGCAGGACCTGGCGGCCTACCTGTTCCCGGAGCCTTCTGAGCAGGACTCGTCCATCATCGACCAGGACGTGGTCGCAGACATCTGCGTCAAGTTCAACGTCTCGGCGGACGAGGTAGGAGAACAGAGACTACTGTCTGTAATGGCGGCTGATTTTTATGTTGTTTTGGTATTAGATGCTTAAGTTTCACGATTTTATTCGCCCTTTCATGCGGTGTACCGGCCCCCGCTGGGCTTCGCCCGGCTTCTCCGGTGAAGACATTCCCTAGTCTTTTAGTCGGACCCTTCCCAATGATGATTGTGGTTAAAGTGACCATCCCACCTTAACATTTAGTTTTGAGTTGTCGTAGCCAAATTTGGGTCCCTGGCTCGCACTTACCGGTTTGGGCACTCACAACATCGAGAAAGGCTTTAGTTCGGAGATATTTAATTTCAAAGTTGGAGCACTTTTGATTCAGAGGGGCTAATACATTTGAGTGCCACTTAGAATTTGTAACTTCTTCCCTCTCTTCAGGTACACGCTGCCCTGTTGTCAGAGGACCCGCAGGATCAGCTCTCGATAGCCTACCACCTACTGATCGACAACAAACGGCTCAGTGTCGAGGCGGAGAAGTTCGAGGTCCGGGAGTTCTACGGGCCCAACTCTCCGCCGCCAACGGCGCCCATGAAAGTCGGTCCACTCGGTAAGTTAGAGAGGTGGAGGGGAGAGACGGAGACGGAGACGAAGACGAAGACGGAGATGGTGGTGGTGACTGGAAAGAGAAAGGGAGAAGGAGGAAAGGAAGGGAGAGAGAATTGCACGGAGAGGGAGAGGCCGAGGCGATGTCCCTTGATTGATTTGCGACGTTTCTGCAACGAAATCAATTATATTATTGAATGCATAACGGCGTGTGTAGAGTCGTGACCGTCAATAATGACTTCGACTTCGCTCGCTGGTCCGTTTCACGGTATTGTTTACGAGTGGCACGGCGAAGCTTCATTTTCCGTTCCCAGCCATCGCCGACTGATAATGTCCCTGACCCTGTGTGACTTGGCGGGGCTTTTTTCCTTGGCGAAACTTTCGTTTTTGTTTATGTGTGTGGTCTTATTTTGTCAGGAACGTGTCTGATCGGAATCTGTCTGGTTTAATCTGTCTATACTGGCAGCTGTTTCTCATATATATTTTGTGGTTTGTGTCTAGTTCAATATGCGGTTGTGTCTGTCTTGGCGTTTTCTCTTATTTGTCTAACTCGGGGCTCTAGGCGAAGTTCACACTGATTGTATGTATTTTCTCGTACGGTAGTCTGACTTGGTGATGTTTGTGTCCCCTAGGGAACCCTATCCGTCTGCGTGTATGATCTATGTCTGTCCCATGTCCCGGTATGTAAGACGTCCCCCTGTTTTACCCCGTGTCTGTCCCCCCAGGGAACCCTACCCGTCTGTGTGTCTGACCCGGGTCTGTCCCTGTATGTAAGACGCCTCCCTGTTTTACCCCGTGTCTGTCCCCCAGGGAACCCGATCCCGACGGGCGAACCGGCCGGACGCCCTCATCCCGAGAGAATACCGCGTAAGTACAACGAGAGACACCTCTACCGTACACGGCACCTGACCGATGGCTGATTGGGTATAATGTATGCGCATTTCAACTGAAACGTGTTTGGGGCTGGTGCTAAGACCCGTCATTGTCAATGAACTCACCAGTGAATATCTTGTGCATGAATTAGGAAGTGGAAATGTCTGCCATATTTTGTCTCGACCCGTGACGTTCCTCGGAATTTGCAATGCAGATTCTTGCTTAAGAGCTTTATAGGTGGCAACGAGCTGCTGGTACCGGTGGTCTCAGGACTTTCTGATTCATGCTCGAAGGTGACGTGGTCGTGATGTCTTTATGTTCTTTGCTCCGCTCATGCATCTGGCCTCCATCTCTCGGTTATCATTCCCTGAGTGATTCCTCGTCCTTATCGCCATTCCATCTGGATTGCGACCTCTGGTGACCCGCAACTTCTGCTGGTCACATATTGACCTGTTATCTCTGATGGTCCGCGACTTCTGATCCTCTAATCTTTACCCTGTAACCTTCCACCCGTAATCCCTGAAACCCATGAACCTCCCATAAGTGTAGCCTCACCTGATTATTTACTGCTAACCTCTGACTTTTAACCCCTGACAGGTCACCCTTGACCCCTGATCGTACCTATTGCATGAGAGAAGACTGGTCAGCCATCTCCAGTCTGGCATACTGTGACTTCAGAAATGATGACCGCGTTTCCACCATGGCCCATGACCTGACCTCACGTCCCCCCCCTCTGGCAGCTCTACGCGCCGAGCCGCCGGCGGCAACCTCTGGGGAGGAGGGCCGCCGCTCGGTCAGCGCGCCAATGAAGCGCGCCAAATGGCACCTGGGCATCCGCTCCCAGAGTCGCCCCCTGGACATCATGCACGAGGTCTATCGGGCCATGCAATCCCTCAACTATGTGAGTATCCGAGTTTTGGGATGAGTGTTAGCACAGAGAAGAAGAAGTCTGAGTATAGATAGTCTTTGTCTATAGAGTCTGTGTCTAGAGAGTGTATATAGAGAAGTCGTGTGTTGTTAGCGAGCGAGCGAGCGAACTCGTTTCTCGCTCCAACGGTGTTTTACTGGATGGTAGATACTCGCCAATTATGGTCGAGAGATCCCCAATTTGATCGCAAAATACTTGGGTGCTGGTGGTGCGAGGTGTTAAGTGCCGTGGCGGGGCCTGGAGCTTGTCCGCAAAGCGCAATTAACTGGAGCTTGTTAATTGGGCTTTAGACTAGAGCGTCTACTAGACATTGGTCATTTTGCTGCTGCAAAGTATGCCGATACTTGTATTGAATGGAGGAAATCGATAGTTACACACAATCTGATCATAGTTGGAAGGACCACGAAGCCGAACTTTTGTAACGTTTCTACGGTACATTCAGCGGCAGCAGGAAACTTTCTCTCCGTTCCAAGCAGACTACCGTTATGCATTTATGCAGTATGCGCCGGCATGGCAGTCTGAGTCAGCGACTGGGCCTCTTCTTTGTTCGTCACCGCAGCGGGCGCGGGGAGCGTAGATCGTAGATACCAAAGTGTTGTCTGCGTGCCTCTCTTTGCTCTTTCCCCTCTCTCCTTACCGAGCAGCCGCGCAAAATGGACGAGTGGGAAGCGCTGTCGATTATAAAGGGAATGGAATATGTAGACATGCTCGCGGTTTCGTAGGTTTCGTGTCGTTTCATCGTGTGTGATTTTTTTCCCGTCAGGCTAACTGTTAGACTGGATGGACGGGTATTGTTAGTGGTGGCCTTCCAGGCCTGGGGAATGGATGTAAAAATAGCAGGACACGCCGGGGCTTAGCTTTTAAGCGTACTACGCCCGTGCCGACTGAAATTGCCCACTGAAGTTGAGAGCAAATTATTTCTTCCTGTGTCTGCAGTGAGAAAGCAGAAAAGTACACAAATGAAATTGGGGAGTGATCATTAAATTTTGGGCCGATAATGAGTCATCTATCATAGTTTTGGGGAAAATCCTGCAAAATAATAGGCGGTGGCTTATTGAGGCACTTTTTGTCTACCTTGCAAATAGTTGCTTTGCACTTAATTCGCCTTGTCATCATTAATAGACACCCCGGACGTCGGCTAGCGATTCTGCTTATCGGTCATGCACACCCTTTTCCTTCGTCGCCCAACCAGGATATATTTTTATGTCGCAGACTGCTGACTGCAGTCACATCTTCGTTACTACTATGACCCATCCAAAACGGCAGCTAGATGACGGCTCTAAATACGTAGTGCGGAAGAACGTTTGAGACAGAAGAACGGTGTCCACGCCTTTTACATGGTATATGGTGGACTTACCAGCTCGATTCAAACGTCTTCCTATAATGGTTTTCTCACCTCCTTCCCTCCCCATCCGTCAGACCTGGAAGACCATCAACAACTTCTCTGTGCGCGTGAAGCACCTGAACCCGGTGACGGGCCGGTACGTGAAGATGGCCCTGCAGCTGTACCAGGTGGACTCCCGAAGCTACCTGCTCGACTTCAAGTCGATCCTCAGTGACGATCAGGCGCAGGCCGCTAATGCAGGTAAGGTTTCGCGGGGACTGGGGTGTTATATGTAGGTAAAGAGGAAGAAGTGAGGTGGTATTTTCTGGTGAAAGGCAGCTAGTATTTATGTGAGAGTCGTGTGTGTTGTAGATGGAGAGGAGATAGCGGGGCTGTATCTTGTGGTGGAAGGTAGCTGGTAGCTTTATGATAGATGACGTGCATTCTTGTGTGTGGGAGCCGCGGAACTGGGGTGGTTTGAATGATATGGCAGAAAGTGAAGCAAAAATGTGGGAAATCTAGATATGGCAGGTGAGTGTTAGGTCAAGCTCAGTGTCACGAGCTGCTCTCTTTAGGAGACTAGGGATTGTTGTCGTCGATTTTTTATAGGGTGGGACGGGTAAATGTTGACTGGAAAGTTTGAAGTACATGAGAATTACCTCATAGGCTGCGTTTATTGCTATTTCCGTAAGAAAAGGTTATCACCTCGATTTTTTTTTTTTTTGCAAGGAACTTACATCGTGTCTCGTCAACTTCGGCTTCCGAGCTTCTCAAAACACTGGGCGTAAATAAAGTGTCAAGTGATTTATCCGATATCACCTGAAGGAATCGTTACAAATAAAATTGGTAGAGCAGAATTATTGCAATCAAAAGTTTCATACAAGGCCACAATCACATCCATTTAAACGGTCACCTCGATGTGGAACAGGGCTAGGCGTATTTAGGGGTTTCAAATGTGGATGGGATCAGTGCCGACTATGGTGGTCGTTTGGTGCTTGTCTCAATGTTGGTGCTGCGATGGTGCCGGCACCGCTGTCGGGGTGGTGACCCGATCAGCCGTTTTTTATTGTCGCCGCTGACTGATCATTGTGGCTAGCTAGCAGTAGCCAGAATGGCTGGATCAGGGGTGCCACGTACGACAGACTAGCTGGCACAAAGAGGGTGCTGTATTCTCCACATAGAATCGGCAGTGGTGCAACGGCTATTGCAGCTAGTAGACTGTAGTCATGTAGCTGATAGTGTCTCGTAGTAGTGGTAGTGGTAGTGGTAGTGCTCGCATCGTCAAAGGCTTAGGCAGACGGAGTGGTTATAGATAACTTGACATGAAAACGCTGTACTATTCATATGTTTAAAGTGAAGTAATTAGTATTGAAAGAAGTTATGTCTTTGATTTGGTCACTGCCAGTGTGTACTGTATAGATGACGTGATGGGGTTGGGCAATTACGTCTTTTATGGGACAAATTTTCTTTGTACGGCCACGCAGGAGTAGTATGGAGTCTTTAGCAACACCTTAGTCTTCTTAATATTTTTTTTGTGACAACCCAAACAAAACAACAATTGGTTTTTATTTGAAGTGGTAGGAGTTCACACACCACCCAGAAAATCTAATAGCGGTACAGTACACTGTTCTTTACATGCCACAGTCGCACTCACAATTTACCTCACCCGGATCTGACCTCGAGTTTGAATATCTTTTCGTAGTCGATTATTTTTATTCTAGCATATAATATTCCACCGCCCTAGTTTTTAGTCGGCCGCTTTATGTTGAGCACTGTCGATAATAGTCTAAATCATCAACTGGATTTTTTTTTCTACGGCGTAGTCTGCTGCAACGCCGCCCATTTTCCTACTAGTGTTTCATCAGACGGACCCTGTCTGATCCCTCTTTGTTATCCTCTCATCCACCCGTTCCCACGTGTTTGGTGTTGTGTGTTTTTATTTGACTACCTAACTCAATCTTCCTTCTGTGACTCATGCGTTTCTGTGGCTAACATCGGCTTGGATTTTCAGTTATGGGGGATGTTTTGACGGTTAGCTTGTTTTTATGGCACGTTTTCCTAACCAAATGGCTCCTCCTGGTTGCCCGTGGAGGCGCACTGCCTTTATGATTCTCTGTGATCGGGATGGGGATGTAGACATCATACCAGTCTCATAGTCACTTTCCGAAAAAAGATAAGCAATTTTGCTGTTATGCGGTGGATGGTTCTTTAGAAGCCACATTCCAGGAAACTTGCTAGTCTTCTGTCTTTATTATAAATGCTCAGAAAGCTAATTTATTCTCATATGGCTGGTCCATAATAGCTCTATCTGATTTAGCGATATTAATTATCAGGACATTTCAATATCGGATGTCCTAAAAAAACGGCCAAAACATTACTGCTAAGAAGTGAACCTAATGCTCGCTCCCGTGCGACCCAGAGTTTCGTCCTCCGTTCAGTATCCTATCCGTTGGCATGAGGACTCGACTGTGGGGTATTGTTCCTATCAAACTGCACTGGCTCCTAGTTTTGGGTCTCTGGTGACCTTTGGCGATCTCTTGACCTTTGTTTGTCTCTGTCTACCTCTGTGGGTCTCTGTCGGTCTCTGGTGCCCTCTGGCGCTCTCCGGTGACCTCTGGTGACCCCTGGTGACCCGTGTTGACCCGTGTGACGGCCGCAGTGGCGGCTATTCCGTCTGTTGAGATCTGGCCACCGGTCGGGGGTCAGGAGGAGACCGAACAACCCGCCGCGGAGAGTAAGTGGCTGCCGGCACCAACCCCGTCCGTCCGTCCGTCCGTCCGTCCGTCCGTCCGTCTGTCCACAGGGAATCGCGCTCGGACTCTGCCCTCCTCTCTCTCTCTCTCTCTCTCTCTCTCTCTCTCTCTCTCTCTCTCTCTCTCTCTCTCTCTCTCTCTCTCTCTCTCTCTCTCTCTCTCTCTCTCTCTCTCTCTCTCCTCTCTCTCTCTCTCTCTCTCCTCGCTCTTTCGCTCTCCCTCGGTCTCTGCCTTTGCCTCCCTGTTTTTTCCTCTGCAATATTTTGTCGACCATCACATCTCTTCTCGCTTTTACCTGCTCTCGCTCTGGGTGACACTCTCACTTGCCATTACTGTCCCTGTCTTGGTCGTTATCTCTCCTCTCGCTGTATATATATATATATATCTCTCTCTCTCTCTCTCTCTCTCTCTCTCTCTCTCTCTCTCTCTCTCTCTCTCTCTCTCTCTCTCTCTCTCTCTCTCTCTCTCTCTCTCTCTCTCTCTCTCTCTCTCTCTCCTGTCTCTCTCTCCCCCTCTCTCTCTCGCTCTTTCGCTCTCCTTCGGTCTCTGCCTTTGCCTTTCTGTTTTTTCTTCTGCAATATTTTGTCGTCCGTCTCATCTCTTCTCGCTTTTACCTGCTCTCGCTCTGGGTGACACTCTCACTTGCCATTACTGTCCCTGTCTTGGTTTTTATCTCTTCTCTCGCTGTATGTCACTCTCTCTCCCTCTCCCTCTCCCTAGCTCTCCCTCTCCCTCTCCCTCTCCCTCTCCCTCTCCCTCTCCCTCTCCCTCTCCCTCTCCCTCTCCCTCTCTCTCTCTCTCTCTCTCTCTCTCTCTCTCTCTCTCTCTCTCTTCTTTCTCTGTTTATTTATGCCATCCATCTACCTCGTTGTCGTATGGTTCACCCCGTTCGATTGTGTGCGTTGGCAAGAATGGTTTTTCTCTTCCTTCTTCTGCTGTAACATGGCTTGCTCCTGGCTGGATGGGTCAGTCTTCGGTCGTTTCTTGGGCGTTTTTGTCGCTCGTTTTGTCTTCTAACCCTCCTTCTTGCAACATTTTTGAGATGTTTGGAATCCGCCTGTAATCTGCCGGTTCCCTGCTAGTGACCTTTTCACTCACACCTTGTGAATATTTCACTCGAATAGGCACTGTTTGATACCCCAGCACAAGCACAGCGCCTTTGGTTTCCTTGCCGGGCTGGTGGAGCTTTTCTACTCATCTCTTCATCTTCTTGCTGATATTTTCTGGGGTTGTTTGCATTCTCGTCGGTTTATCTCCCGCCATGTCTCTCTTCCAGCTTTCTCTTTTTGTTGAAGTATTTTCTTTCATTTGTCTGCTAACTTAATCTGCTGCTTTGGGATTGTCGCCATATACCATGGATGTATTGGCGACACTTATTTCTCTAAGCCTCTTATGGTCCTCTCTGCATTGATTGGACTTTTTGGAAACCTTACTCGGCTTCTCTGCCGTCTTGGTTTTTGGTTTTCGTCTCTATCTCTCACGCTCTCCATCGGTTTATCTTCTAACCCCTAGCGGCCAACATACTTACCTTCTAACTCACGCTTGTTCTGCATTCTCGTTTTATCTCACTCCCCGACTTTGCACCTTGACGTGCTCCCTGTATTTGTGACCGTCTTCAACCTTTTTCAGTGACACAGTTTGTGCCGTGTATGTGTTGACATGGGACACTAACTTTGTTGTGCATCGTCAGTGCATGCAAAACAATGTTTTTCTCTAACTGTATCGTTTGTCCAATCCCTTGCTGATTTGTCAAATTGGATGTGGTTCTGTCTCGACCCTCATCTTGATGACTCTTGATCTGATCCGTGTTTCCTTTTATCGTCTGCCTTTCACATTAGCTCATCAGAATTTACCCAATTAAATGTTTTGCTCGCTACAGACGGTTAGGGGCGCTTTACATGGGGTTTAGTTGCTTCATGCAAAGCCGTTTGAGTAGGCGGCGGCTTGGATAGCTTCAGCGATGAACGGTGTGCTTGCTGCGTGGTTTTGCAAATAGATGGGCTTGCTTCCTGCTTTGTTGTTGTCCCTTACTGGCTTGTGAAATATCCATTGTTGCGCTGCAGTGAACGGGGCTAGTATTTGGTTTAGTGTATGTGCGCGCTGGCATGTATATATCCAGTAAGGTGGCAACCTTTAAAGGAAAAGGGCCACCTTTAACATGGGGATTGAAACTGAGATAGCCATCTTGTAGCCCGTGTCCGAAAACCCATCTGTCTACCTCCTTACGGCCGATTTCGGCCTCCATTCGTAGTTATCGGCAATTTTAAAAGAAAATACGCCAGGAATGCGTCCTTATCCCAGGAATGCGTTCTTATCCGACAATACAGCCACCCACGGCGAGGCTTTGGTTTTTTACCAATCAGCTCCAACCAGCTCAGCTTTAACCAATCAGCTTATCTGACACAATCCGACGAGTCTGTCTTCTGAACGCTGATTGGCTTGAGTGTGACGTCATCGCTATGCCATCATACAGTAGGTGCCGTAGAGAGTATCAACATAGTACCAATATGTTAAACAGTTTTAAATACTTTTTAGCGAATTGTGCACTTCTGGCACCAGTTTTAAAAAGAAAATGAAAAATAATAATGTCAAAATGAAAAGCAACGATATCTTCATATTTCACGAAGGTGGCCCTTTTCCTTTAATGCTGGCCTATAAGTGATTTGCCTAAATTCAGTCGCGTTTGATGTACGATATGCTAGATTTCGCCTGTATTCAGGCGAAATCTAGCATATCTTACACAGTTACAGTGTGCATATTCTTCCCAATGTTAGTGAGAATGCTCCAAAACGTAACCGCGGTGCCTCTTGACGTACGCATGTGCTGTAATTTGGCGCCTGCTGTACCTTTTGAAAATATTGTTACCCAAAGCTCGTGAAGTGCTCTCACATAGTACACGTGGGCTTGGTGGCTTACATGGTTGTCAATAGGTCTGTCTTTTGCGTGCTTGTTATTTGCCTTGCATTGGTGTCTGGTGTATGCACACTATTTCCGCATGTCGCATTAACAGTGATAATGTTGTTACTGCAACGCTGCCTGTGCTGTATAAACAGTATTACTGTATCCGAGTATTTTCGATGTTTTACCTACACATGTAGATTAAATCTTTACATCATTATACCGAATGCACATCGCACAAGGGTGTTTTCTCAGACATTTGTACGGCAGACTGTACGGCAGTCATAGATACACTCCATGCTTTACACAGGGTATCTTTCATCTGATTCTTTCTATGTGGGTTATTCCCGCTGTTTGTACCTCTGGTGGCTTCTCCAAATGCATTGAGGTGTTTCATGTCCACTTTGGAGTCAGCAGTCGTATTTATTGTACGCTAGAACATTGCACTACATACCGTCTAGTGTTCCATGGCTGTATTTTACGATAAATGGAATAGTGCTCATCTTGCTTTGTGCGTACGCAAGATTGTTAATTGTATTGCAATGTAAATAGTTTCGAGCTGGCAGATGCACGCCTCTCTTCTTATGTATATGATAGCTGTGTTCTGTACTAGTTCGATGGTGCAGCTCTAATAATTTTTGCTTATGTGAATTGCAAGAGATGTGTGTCGCGATTCTCGAAAGTGACTGGTGTTTAATAGAATGTTTCATAGCATTTTTGTTCTCGTCACACTAGATTCAAGGCCGCTTTAACATCTTTCAGATCGTTACCGTCAATTCTTCTCTCCGTATAGCTCCGTTTAATCAAACTAACTACTGTCTCGTAGCCTTTTTGTCTCCCCTCTCGCCGACTAACCCCATCTAACCACCGTGTCGTATATCTCCGTCCATTCTCTGTGAGCAGCAGCCTCCGCTGCCGCGCCTGCCGCACCGCCCGGCGCCTGCCTGAAGACGGCGCCCGCCTCCGACGCGGGATCCTCTGCTTCCAGTGAGTAGACGTGTAGATATTGTAGATATGAGAAGGAGAGATTCTTGGGCTTCCAGTGAGAACTCACTGTGTTCTCAGAGAGTTGTAGTAGAAATGTGAGGTGGGGAGACTCCTGAATCACCAGCGAGGAGTACCTGTTGCTATAGTGAGCGGGGGTAGGAATGGTGTATGGAATGGGAGACTCTTGTCGCTTCCAGTGAATAGACTTCCGATAGGTATACTCTTAGAGGAGCTGCGACAATAGGGCATGGAGAGTAGATAAGATCTTGGAGGGTGAGTGTGAGGGTTGAAGCGTTATTATATCTTTATCGTCCTTTACATGTATGCACGGATGCTTAAATGTTGCTGTTTAGCTCCGCTGTCTTATGGATGTAATAATTGATGTGATGATAATTTTTATTGGTGAATCCAAATAGCACGTTGCATGGAACGTGGGAATGTTTAGCCCTCTATGTGTCATACATGGAGGGAACAGTGGCAAACGCCTTGTGTCCTGGAAGTTATCTGCTAAATGTTCAGGCTATGTCGATACCCGATGCTATTCAGGCGCTGAGCTGCTAGGAAAGTGGCTTTCAAATGGACCATGTTTCCCCTAGCGTATTACATTAGCGTCAATGTCCGATGTGATGTAGAAGAATACCCGTGTAGAAGATGCCCGTTTCGTGTTTGGATGTTCGTTTTTGTGTTATTTAATGTGAACAACATGGCTGTTAAAATTTGCACACTTGCTCTACGCATTGCGGTCTATCTGATACATTGTTATCATTCGCCGTCATATGATAGTTGTGCCTTTTTCGGTCACGTTTTCCTCTGCTTCTTTCACTTTAATAGTACTCATGATTTGAAGAGCGTACGACTACTTTAGATGTTGGTGTCTCGTTCCAAAATCCGTGTGGTATTGTCGCCTATTTTTCGATGTAGTTCACCCAACTATCCTATTATCTTCCATTGTTCTTAACGGTAAGTGGAATATTGTGCGGTTTTGCCTTGAAAACACTTTTTATTCCATCCAGCACTGTGCCTTGTTTCCTCATTCATTTTAAAGCATGCGCAGAATGGCTTCTCACTATGCTCAAACTATTTTGGCATTTGTGTTCTGGATACTAACATGTGTTGATTTAATAACAACAACGCGCGTAACATTTCCTTTCCTTGTATTTCCTAGTATAAGTCCGGCCCGAGAGGAATTCCCACAAGATGTTCTATGCCATCTACACACGGTATCTTTTAGCGTTTTCTTTTCTGCTTGAAACGACCTGTGTAATATGCCATTATCTCATTCCAACCAATTATCTACATCCTTGAAAAACATGTTTTTTATTTCTGAACTTGTTATTCTTGTTTATTCCTGTAACCCATCAGTTGGTGCGCCTGGAGGCCGGAAACCCCACATCATCCAATACACCGACCGAATTCTTCAGTACACCATGCGCAGAAGTCAATGCATTGACCTCAGCTCCATTTCTGCATAGACTGATGAAGATATCTAGGCACTGACCTAATCTCGTCTGACCACTTGCGGTCCTTACCACTCACCTTACCTCCTCTCTATACAGCCACAGACTTCAATGAAGATGTCTAGGCACTAACCTTACCTCCGTCGCTCTCAGGCATGACCAGCGGTAGCTCCTCCACGGGCGCCACTACTTCGGAGGACCATCCGCGTCCCGAGTCGGCCCCGGCCGCTCCGGCAGCGTCCAGCAACGGCGACCTGTCACACCAGGTGGGACGAACGTGGGAAGGGGATGGGACGGGAGGCGGGAGTGTTGAGATGGGCGTACTTTCCGAGATATGTATTGTGTTCGGCTATGGACCTTGGAAGGGGCCTCGCTTCCTCAAGTTATCTCATCTTGAATTCTAAGTAGGAGTTTTGCATACTGCACTGGTGCCTTTGTAACACTATCTATGCATTGTTTGAAAGTTTCACTGTAGACACTCTATGTCTGCATTCTTGGGTTCCGCTTATGGTTGGTGTTTGTTGTGTTGCTTGCCCGTCGCCCTGGTAACGCTGATGTCATCCCCTGACGTTTGTTTCTCGTCGATAGAGCTCGACGGAGCTGTCGGCGCCCGCCACTGGGGCTCGCCACTATACCATGGAGTTTTTCGAGATGTGCTCGGCACTCATCACACAGCTCGCACGCTAGGCGGCCAGAAGGCTGGACTAGCGCCGCATAGATGTCGTCACTGTACCGCGCAGTATAGATGGCGTTGGTGTTCGGCTTTATAGATGACGCCGCCATGCCGCGCAGTATAGGCGGCGCCACTGTGCGGATGCATGCGCGACGCGGGATGTTTGAATTGTGCCATAGCGGTAGATTTCTGAATAATTGATATCGATGAATGAGAAGCCGCACGTTTGTCTGTCCTCCGCGAACACGTAGCGGCGCCGCGTGCAATCATGTCCTGAATGTTATTTTGTCCCCACGTGTGTTCTTTACCTAAATGTACAACGTTTAACCAGCGCTCGCGCGGCAGAGGCACATAACGCTAGGTTAGGGTACGCTTACTTATTTTATCCCCCGTTGTGTAACGTTACAAGAGGCTAGATCACGTAATTTGCTAGAGGGCATTCTGAGTCGATGCCTAACCGCCGTGGAGCTCCACATGCCCTCACTTTGTTTCGCTGCGTCGCTGTCATGTACTCTAGGCTAAGTCGCTCGCTCAGTTTTATGCATCTGACTGATGTCGCGTCCGTCTTGTGACCCTTGACCCCGTGCTTTGGCCGAGGTCAAGGTCAGGATCGGCGCCGGCGCCTGTCTGCTTTGGTGGTGGGATTCGCGCTGGAGATCGGTACTGTCGAGATGTCTGTCCCTTTGTTTGTCTCCCCTATGCTAAGAGTGCCGAAAACGCCTCCGCTCGCCCTTCGTGTGACCCAATGTACCGGTGCAATGACCTCCGTGTACCCCGCGCTAGGGTGTCCGTACCGCCTGCACCGCATGCGTACTCCACCTGTACCACCGCTGGTGTACCAGGGAGTACTGTACCGCGTACCGGGAGTACTAGTTCCCGTACTGCGAGATAATCCGCAAGCTAGACGAACTCAAAACCTCAGTCTGCAAGCGTTGAGTCTATATCTCGCGATGCTAAAACGCCCGGTCTTTTGTGCTTTCCAACGCGCGAGGAGTCTGTTTTAGCCTGGAGGAGCTGTATGGCACTGTACTGTATCTGTCAGTTTATTCGGTGGTGGGTTCAATATTGTGTAGGCTCGCCTCGCGAGCCACGTCCCAGCTCGTATGCTGACTGGGGCGCCTTTGGTGCTGTGCCATTCTTGAAACCTAAAACCCCTCTTGGCCCAATGAGTATTTCGGCAACAAGCGGCACCACGCAGCTGCTATTCTTTAGAGATCGCCATCTTTGGCGCTCGTCTCCCTTCGACTGGCTGTCGTTTCTAGAGAGATCGCGAGCGGGGCTGGCCAATGAAAGAGCCGCCCCTGTGCTTTATCAGAGTTATATATACGTGCTGTGTGCTGAAAATGTATGGTTTGTCGGAATCAATAAACGGGAAATGTATTCTGGATACCAGTGTGTGAGGTGAGCTGGTGAATATCTGAGTCGGTGACGGTGGCATTACTGGCTACAGTTAACACAACACATGCTGACGATGCGTTGCTACATGCTGCAGTGGCATAGATCACTGGAGACAGAACTGTCATAGCTGACTAACGAGTTACTGCTTTTCTGGTGGGTAGCGGGCCAAGGGTCGCTGATCGGTGGCACCGGACGTTGTTGGGTCACTAAGGACCAGTGATCCATGGTCATTGGTCACCGACCAGTGAAGCTTTGTTGGCTACTCTAGTCACTGATGGGATCCGGGTTATCTGTGGGTGAGCTTTGGTCGAAAGACAGCCGGAAGACATCCCTGTGATTGATCTATAGCCACAAAATCGAACACTCGTCGGAAAGCACTTATTGAACCGTGGATAACCATATATTTTCCAAATCCACACCGCTCCACACTTCACACCAATTCCACGTCGCCAAGTCCCTTGGCTTTTAGCCGCGACTGTGGCGCTGCCCAGCGGCGACCGGACCAACTAGACACGGCGCTGACTAGACGCTCACAGCGGTTGGCATGGCAACCGTACCCGCGCCGCCGCTGCGGCTACTGGCTCCTACTGGCACACTTTCCTTGGGACGATTTCCATCAGGCACAAACAAGCTAGCGACGGCGCAAACCAACAGATAACACACACTCAGGTAATATAGGCAAAGACCATTGATGAGCCAACAGCGCAACAGACTAAGATGGCAGCTAATAGGAACGAAGTCTTATCACACCAAACTAGCAGGCAGTAAAAGACGAATATGGAGATATCCAAGGAATATTGCATCCGCACAATGCTTAAAATTAACATCAATGCAACCACATTCGATTACGTTCAAATAATATACCGTACGGACAGATTTGCCGGATTCGAATCGTTCTCAACCTATCGGAATGAAAGCATACAGATAGGCAACACACTTTTCGGGCTAAAATTCTGGCAGCGATTTTGGTAGTCACTTCATTGCTAACATATTGCATACCTCTCAAAAAGCGTGTGCATTTACTCTCAACTCGCCTCTGAGCGCTCCTCCCAAAGGTTTATTTGCAATTTACCCGAATTCCCCGATGTCTTAGCTGCCAGAACATCATATCCCGTTGGTTTACATTGACTCATCCGTCACACACAAGCGTGCTATAAAGTGTAGCCTGTCTTTCAGGACCGTCAGCCGTTTGTCATGGATGGGTTGGCATGACAAATAGACTGCTGCTGTCATGGCAAAAATGCGATTAAAAGCTTTTGAAAGCTTAGCAGCTGCCGAGCTAAACAAAAAGTACGCGCAAGCTATACAAACAAGCTAATTTGGGAAGCGTACGCAAGCAAGAATCACAACAGCTGCAATACCCTTGATCACAAAACTACACTTTTTCTATTAGACGCATCGCCTCAACTAATTTAAAAAAAACTCGGAAAAATATGCCACAACCCGCAGCCTCGAATTAGGAGCACTTAATATGGAGAATAGCGATATACTATAGGATGATAAAAGGAAACACGCATAAAAAGGAACAACCCCTGCAAGGTTTTACACCAGTTTAAAATCATCAGCCAGACGTTCCATGACTTATATCAACCTAAACACTCCAACACAGCACAAGGTAATTTGTAGATAGCTTGCTACACGTGGAATCACAACTGGCCAAATAGAGCAGTGCAGTACATGACAACACCGCCCATTTAATACCTAAAGCAGCTTACCACTAGCTATGAAGCGGAATGCTGTGCAGCTGTCGGTGCAAGTGACGTCACTTTTCGAGTTCGTTCTGATTGGCTAATAGCCGTTCCGTCGGTGTAAAGACTAGCTGCCATTGGCTGGACCGATCTGTAAGACGCGTTCCCATTGGTGGAGCCGTATGACGTCACCGTAACGAGGCGTTATGATTGGCCGTTGAGAGTGGTCTCGGCCATTTCGGTGATGATGTCATCATCCACAGAGTAGCTCAGCATAAACCGCAGGTGAACGCTCATCTGAGGAAAAGAGGAACACATGAATTTTGGCACGGGGCCTCCCTTGCGGTCTCGACACGGCGACAGCCTGTCATAGATCAATCTGTCATTTTTCATTATTCATGTGTCGTTCGTAAACTTCGTTAATTCACAAATGGCACTCCCATCCTCCAAAGTGACCTAGGGGTGAGATTACCACCCCCACACTGACCTGAGGTCACTCTCACTACCCCTCCCCACTGACCTGAGGTCCCCCTACACCACTGACCTGAGGTCAACACCCCCCCCCCCCTCCACTGACCTGCGGCTCGGGCCGGGCCAGTAGCAGCACCTGACTGGCAGCCGGTGGGGGCAGAAACGGTGAGCCGGCCGGTAGGTCTGTGGTAGACGGAGCCTGCAGACGCACCCGGGCAGACTAAAACGAGAGGGGGTTGGGGGTTTTTGGACGACCGGACTACAGTGGCCATCGGCCGGCTAAAACGAGGAAGGTCAAATGAGCTCATGGGGTTATGTAACGCCTCCTTCATGCTATGGTAATAATTCAAATCCAGCAAAGCTCTTTTTGTAGTCAGTTACTGGATTTAGCCTTCGTTTGAGATTGACCACCGGCCTTATTAAACCGCACACATGTAAAGACCTTGACAGCCTCAACGTCTTGTCAAGAGACCCACCACAACTATGATCGCTGATATCACCAAAAGATTTGATATGAAGTACCACGACCTATCAATAAAACCACAAAACCAAAAACGACGTCGAACAGATTATCAATTGGGCGCCAGACTAACATTCACGTCAAACTGACCCTCCATAACATTCCATCGACGTCATAAAAGTACAGTGGATTACAGAATGATGCTCCGCCCCTCACAAGCTATAAGTTGACTGTTACGCCGGGTTGTACCGTTTAACACGCAATTAAGCATGCCTATTGTGAGCGTAGAGTCGCAGGGACAGGCTGAGTCACTCAACATATGTGATGCGGCACTCTACCACTCCAGGTAACTAACTGCCCGTGAGAAATGTTAAATGGAACATGATTCTGTAGTCAACTGAACGGGGTCGATATCAATGTATACATTGATGTCGACTGCGGGTCCCTATACAAGACCAACTAACTCAGGTTTCTGTGCGTGCGTTCTGACAGTTTATTGTAGCCTCCCCTGTAACGTCCCCGGTACGTCCCTCGTAGCCTCCTCTGTAAATACGCTGAGACAATTGAGGATTGCTGTGTAGCAACTGCTAACTGTACAGTAGTAATGACTGGTAACTGTTGCTTTACAGTAGCAACTGGTAACTGAGTTACAGCAGCATTATCACAGGGTCCCCTATACAGTATACACCATTACCTTATCGCAGACGGCCTGCAGCGTGTACTGGGTGACGGGCCGGCCGGTGCGGTTCAGTGCCGTGATGACGTACACGGTGACGTCACGCCGCGGACGGTTACCAGCCGGGCCGTGCAGACTGATCTCCAGAGAGTTGGGCTCGCAGAACAGCGGTACCGGCGCCCCGCCGCCTGGGAGGGGAGCGGGGGTAAGCGACATAACTTATCAGGACATATCAGGACGAGGGAGCGAAACAAGGTGGGGGCGTGAGAGTTTACAATGCATGGTGCTGCTTTATATTTGGAGAAAAAAAAATGTACAAAGTATTGTTTGCACTCACGAGGCAATTATAACGTCACGATCAGTGGAGTGAAATGTCTAATTAACCTGAGAAACAAGTCTACCATTTAACTTACCGAAATCGCACAAGCATCCCAGGAAGTAGACAAACCACATATATCTCAAATACGGGCTATCTAAAAGCATCGCCTCTCATTCCCAGGCCTACAGCGTCCCATAAGTAAAAGACATTTTCCCCATCACCATTCCATCAATCATCCTACATCATCTTCCACAGTCGTCCTCCTGACTCACCGGGAGTGATATCCTCCAATCGAACGGTGACTTCCGACAGACCGGGAGGACGGGGCGTGGCGTCACCGGCGGCCGGGTCCTGACCTCGACCTGACCCCGGCTGACCTCCAGCGGCCGGGTCCTGACCTCCAGCTGACACGGGTTGACCTCCAGCTGGCACTGGTTGAGAGCCAGCTGATCCCATCTGACCGCCCAATCCCGTCTCAGATAACAACGAGTCGTGGGAGCTCGGGCCACTCAGCGTCGAGAGCAGGCTGACGTCATCGCCGAGCAGGTCTGTGATTGGTGGATGGCCGTTTGGCTCCGCCCCGGCCGCGCGCCCCGGTGACTGGGGCGGCGTGTGATTGGTTGGGACGGCGGAGGGGCGGGGCGAGCCGGCCGATGCGTTCGTCCGATTGGTGGAGGGAGAGCCGGGCGGAGCTGATAGTAGTCTGCCGAAAAAAATGAAATTACCCATCACAGTTGAGCCTAAATGATAAAAATGACAGCAAGTTTAACCCCATTTGATTATTATAGTCAAAAACACCACATGGTGAAACAATGCAGAAAAAAATAGTGAATAGGTAGTTTCAATGCTTGCTCGCAATCTAAATACGGAAACATGTAAACAACCATAAATTATCTCTCCCCCAAAGCTAACATATCTACTATCTAGTCTCCTCACCTATCTGCCGTCGCAGAGCTCGAGGCAGCCGTGGCTGTCGCGCCCGGCGCAGAGCTCGACATACTCAGTCTCACCAGATCATCGAGATCATCGAACGGTGATCGGGCCGGCGGCTGGGACGGTCGAGGAACGGTAGACGCTGCTGTCGGCGCCGGGGGTAGCATCTGTGGGATAGGCGGAGGTAGGGCGAGGTTAGTGGAAGGCGCCGGTGTGAGTGGGGGGGGGGGGGGAGGATAAAAAGTGGAAGAGGTTAGCGCATTGGTGATAATCGGCGAGGCAGGGTGGGACGCTGGGTTTGTAGGTTGATGGACATTCAAATTTGAAACAATTATCTGCAGAATGAGATAATGAAAAGTGATACAAGCTACCTCGAATTACAGCGAACACAAGAGTATAGAAAGCTAAGCCTACCCATGACTAGACACTCCCACTAGACGTC